TTTTTCAATTTCTACAGCTTATAGCAGGCGACTCGATTAAAGTACGAAGATGATTGTAGGCTTATTGGAAAGGTGAGCTATTCAGCTTTCATACGAGTTGTCGACGATGTAATTATCGGAAGGGGTTGTTTAGTTATTAACGAAAAACGCTTTTTCTAATTAATTCAATTTTTTTTTTTCAATGGAACTAATTTTTGAGACTACGCACATAAGATTATATAGTATACATTTTGATTTAATGGCATGGTCATAAAAAAGTATAACGTAAGTGGTGGTGGTAACTACAACCCTATCCCCAATAACCTTCATCCCTTTTCCTTAGTAATCACCTAGGCAGTATGAAAATTCCATTAATGACTAGTACAATGTTTATTGATATATTAATAAAAAGTTAGTGAAATTTTATCTGTGTTGTATGATTAAAACATAAAAAAATTATTTACTTTTTCCAAGAAATTATAAAATATTCTAACAAAATTTCAGCTTACTTGATTAAAATATAAATTACGGAAAATATATAAATACAAAATGTCATGGAAATTACCGTTATGAATAAATTGTAGACCAACTATAAGTGATCTAACTACCGCATATTTCAGTTTATTTAATATACATTATATATATATATATATGTATATTGTGTATGAAGATAAACATGTTATAGATATTAGGGAAAGCAAACAAATATAAAAAAAATTATGCTAGACAAAGCATTAAGTTATGAAGGTACAAGAATAAGAACATATACGACAACGCGAGATGGACGGAGACATTTCCAACAGTCTTCCTGGGCATACGAGCGGCCTCGCGAGAGGATATAGAAGCGTCAGCAGCAGAGATGGTTTACGGTAAACCTTTAAGACTTCCAGGAGAATTCCTCTTCTGTTCACAGTTCACTATTTGACCCGCATGGTATGTGCGTTATTGCGAGACGTAACGGGCTTCGACCGAGCCTGGCGACCGGAATACGCGCGAACCACTGCCTCCACCCACTCTGCACGCTTGGTTCGACAAAACGTACGTTTTTGCTGCCAATGTATGTAATACAAGCCCATTCCCTTGGTAGTAGTTTTGCTAGATAGTAGATAGGGACCGATTGTACAGATTATCCCCCTCTTTTATAGGTTTCCCCTTACCCAATCCACCGGTTTCCCGGTTTCTGGTTTTCGGATCCACCTATAATTTTGTTGTTTACGGGCGAGTCTAGGCGAACCCATACCCCCCCGGTGACCGGTGGTCACGAACCAAAAGAACTTGAGGCTCTCTTACAACCCCCCCGAGCCAAATTATGCAGGCCGGAGTACCAGTTGGGATCAGTGTGCAGACTGATTTACCCTCCATGGATGGATCGACTGCTATCTTCAGTCTAACCGAGTAAGCAGCTCGGCTCCCCCGAACCACTGTGGCGTGGCTCCCACCTGGTGCGCCATCCACCCCGCGGGGATGTGCACCTGTCCGAGCTTGGACGTAACCACTACCACCACGATTTCGTCCCCTTATGGGTCCTACCCTGCCGGGCGGGAGAATATGTATCCCGGAGCCCCCGGCACCCGTGGTAGCAGTTTGCCTCACCCCCTACTGCTTGAGAGGATCAGCACTCATAAGAGTGCCTAGGATGACTGTCTCTGCTGACAGTCGGCTCCCTGGACCCATTAGGATGCGTCGGATCATGAGGCCCGATAAGAGAGACAGCAAGCTGTCGCTCTTTCCCATCGCGCGCACCCCGATCAGCAGTTGACGTGCAAGCACACCCACTTGCTAACCGAGGGCGCTTCAGGGGTCCTAGTGCAATGACCCCCACATCCCAACGACTTGCATACGCATTCACTCCCGCTCATACCAATTCACTCATCAGAATCTGATTGCACTCTAGGAGTGCCATTTATTCTTCGGTTAGGACCTCTTTCATTCCGCTGCCTCTCCAAGACCTTCCTGATCTCGAAGACAGCTTTCGCAAAACATTCAAACTTTTCCATACCGCATATCAAGAGCCTGGAAGGATCACAAGGACCAATCCCATCACTCATACACTCAATCACGCCGTAGCTGTTCCTTTCAATCTCATACAATGGACAGTCCATCAGTATGTGCCATACACTCTCACATTCAGCACCGCAGAAGCAGCCTGGATCATTCACCCTTCCTATCGAAAATAGGAACTCATTCATACTGCCGTGCCCCGTCAAAAGGTAGGAAGCCTCCATGGAGGGCATCATGTCCGCTAAGTCGAACATGAGGACCTTCCTCATAAAGCAAAACAGTATTCTCCCATTATCGGAATTATCCCACCTCGTCTGCCACTCATTCACCATGGCCTTCATGATGGCGCACCTCGCTTCCCTCACACTAAGGCCAATAAGGTCGACCCCCCCCATCAGCAATCCAGCATGTCCCAGTGCTTTTCCCATCTTAAGCCTTCTCCTGATACACTGTCCGACTATTTGCAAATCAAGAGGTATCGCACCCGCCAAAACTTCCAGGGCCTCCGTGGAAACCGACCGGCAACATCTGACCATAGCCAGCAGCACGACCCTATGGACCTTGGCAGCCGCTCTCGACTCCCTAGACCTCACTCTACATCCCCATGCACCCACACAGTACAGAACCATTGGCAGAACCACTCTTTTGTACATCGCACTCACAAACAGGTGGTCCTTTCCCCATAACAGCCCGAGTGCTCTCTTCAGCCCAGTTATTGCCTCTGCAACCTTGCTGGCAAGCTTACTGAGATGCGGCTCGAAGCTCATATTCTTTCCTATCGCTACCCCCAAATACTTGACCTCCCTTTTCAAGGAGAGGGTGGTGTCGTAGCATCCGACTGTGGGAGGCCTTCTTTCGTCGATTTTCCCCACCCTTAGGTAAAGAAGTTCCGACTTCGTAGGAGAGATCTTAACCCCTGCTCCACCCGCCCAGTCCAGAATACGCCCCATGTACTCGTTGGCTCGCCTCTCAAGCTCAAGTCTGGAGTTGCCCTCCACCATCACGAAGAGATCATCGGCATATGCGATCGCCTTGATGCCTGCGGCTATTAGATCGTCCAGGAAGACATCCAACAGGACGTTCCACATGAAAGGTCCTGAGACCGATCCCTGCGGACACCCCCTGCCGATGTTCTTCACGACGTCCCCGCTCTGACCCCTGACAACAACACTCCTATTGCTGAGGTACTCGGACCACATCGCATACATACTTCCCTTACATTCCCTCGTCCAGAGCCTCTCGAGCAGTCTACCCCACCTTATATGGTCAAATGCCCCCTTAAAGTCCACAAATAACCCCATCACTTTCCTCGCAGGGCTAGCCTCCACCGATTCTATGAGCTCGCACAAGGCGGTCTCAGTGGACTTTCCTTTAACAAACCCATGCTGAGCCACTGAGTGGGGGCCGTACACCTCCTTAGTCCAGGCGATCATGAGCCGTTCCAAAACCTTCCCCATAACTGGCAGAAGACACACTGGCCTATAAGAGCCAGGCTCCGAAGGAGGCTTCTTGCCAGGCTTCCTCAAAATGACTAAATTACCTTTTCTCCATCTTTCAGGAAACACGGCCTCATTCACACATCTTTGGTAAATATCCAGTAAAACGTCCGGCCTGACCTCGTGCAGAACCCTAACCATTTCTGGCAGAATTCCATCCGGGCCCGGTGCCTTCTTTTTCCTAGTCTTTCCAACAATCACACAGAGTTCATCCGGATCAATCATTCTCGGCTCATCATCCATTGTTGCTCTTTCCCTCGCAAGAAGCAACCTGTCCGGTTCGTCGTCGTCCGGAAACGTATGGTTGATGAACTCATTCACGCTGCTACCCCAGTCACCTGTACATTCACCCATCGCATTTACCAGAGCATTTGGTATTACTCCTGGCGCAATTTTCCCTCTCATTATCTTGTATGCCTTCCCCCAAGGGTCACCCGTACATTCCCTAATCAAATACTCCTTCCAACTCTTATCTCTCGTGCTTCGGACTTTTTCCTTGTATTCCCTATGCATCTTCTTCCATTCTGCATATTGAATGTCAACATTCACACCCCTCTTTCTATCTCTTCTCAAGCGTTCTTTTTCCTTGTTCACTCTCTTTTTCATTTTATGCAGCTCAGACGTCCACCATCCATTCTTTTTGGACTTAGATCCAAGCGCCACAACCCTTTTATGCACTGTACCGCAGGCCGACACCTTGACTAAGTCCTCCACTAAGTCAATCTCGTCATCCAGCGTCATCTCACCTCGCTCTCCCCACACAGTTAATTTATCCCTCAACTTGTCTCCAAATGCCTTCCAGTTTGCATTTACGTTCGTATATATAACCCTACGCAACTGATCTCTGCGCAACCCCCCCGCATCAACTTCAAATGTTATTGCCCTGTGGTCACTTGTAGTGGCATCACCGTCCACTTTCCAGTTCTGAATCAACGCCAATCCACTTTCATTTGCCATAGTTATATCTATGTTACATTCGTACCGTCCTCTGTAAGTAGCGGGCTGGTCAAGCCTATTGGCCGTGTACCAGTCCCTTACACTCATCCATTCATACAACATAGTCCCCCTCTGAACATTCACACAATCCATACGGACATGACGAGACGACCAGGCCCAATGATGTGCATTGGCATCCGCACACACAATTGCTGGCGCATCACCCACCCAGTCACTTATCACACTTAAATCTTCTATACTATCGATTAGTGGGGCAAACCAACGCATGTACATTGAAATCAAGTACAACTTCTGATCCCCCCCCCTTGTAATACATATCCCAGCGTGGTTGTGGCCTGTCAGATAACTGATTGCCACCACATCCAACACATTCTTCCTTACAACAATCGCTACGCCCTCGTACCTTTCAACACCTGTACTTTGCACATATTCAAACCCTACTGGTATTGCACCCACCGATCCTCTAAACATATAAGGCTCTTGAATCAAAGCAACATCTATTCCTTTTTCGTTCATATACACAAACATCTCTTTAAAAATCCTTGCACTCCTACAACAATTGATCTGAATAAATTTAATCATTCTTCATGCATTCAACACTCGCAACATAATTCACTCTTTTAACCCTTTTATTCCGCTCTCTTACATACAGTGGGCACGCATCTGTTAAAGCCCTATGCTTACAGTTGCGCTCCATCCGCCAGCAATTTATACACTCTAGGTCCTTATCCTTTACCTTACATTCAGATGCCAGATGGCCCTCATATCCACATCTGTTACAACTAGCCACTTTGGCTGTACATTCATTCACCCTGTGATCAAAGCCCAGGCACCTGAAACACCTCTGCACAGAAACGTAGTTCTTCGCAGTGTATCTGTGCCAAAAGGCTGTGAATACCCCGTTCACCAAAATTTCCCTTGCATTTTCCTCACATTCAATAACGGTCGTGCCATTCTTGGCGCGCCACACCACCTTAGCCGTGTCGGCAAATCCAGCCGGCATGTCATTACACGCCGCAATCTCATCAATAATTTCATCGTCCGAGCATTCCGTATAGAAATTCCTTACGATTATCTTCGGCCTCGTTCCTTTCGGCGCAGTCGCCACCAACCCCATGTTCTTACATATTCCCGTGGCCTTAAGTAGCTTATTCGCATCTTCGACGCTTTCTAACTCCAGCACGACGCCGTTCCTTGCACTTCTTGTGGTCTTGACTTTTAAGCCTGCAAGTGCCGGCCTCAGACCTGATATTACCTTGTTCCTCACCACTCCTGTGTTCAGAACTCCTTTCACATCCTTAATTAGAACCACCGGCAGATTCTCCTTTAACGCCTGTGCGGCTTTGCTTACATTAATCCTATCGGCTAATGTTAATTTGGTGGCCTTAGCCTTGCCAGCAGCCTTTGTGGTCTTCGCTGTATCCGCATATGAGCGCTTTGTTGGCTCTATCCGCTGCGTTTGTTTAGCGTCTAAGACGCGACCCCCTTTGCCAACTTCGTTCCATCCCTCATCATCGTTACCCCCAGTTAGTGCGCTTTCGCATAGCTTTTCCTGCAGGTAGTCTAACCTTGCCACTGCATCCTCCATCCTAGTGGCTACTCTTTCCAATTTCGTGATCATTGTCACATGTGCGTCCTCCAACAAGTTCAGCAGCCCCTGGTGATCCTGGGCCCTGGATTTTAGCCTAAGCGTCTGTACCGCTTTCCTCGCTTCATTATAGGCATCGTGCGCTTCGAGCACATCGCATGACCTATTAGCCTGCACTTGTTTGTATAATTGTCTTTCAGCTTTTGTTATTTTCCCCCCCCTTTTATCCGTGACGCTGCCATCACTGGACTCGTTGCCAGATGGTGCATCCTCGTCGTCCCTTCTCCTAACGAGCACATCTTGTACTACTCTTATTTTTGGCGCGGCAACGCCGCACTTTAAGCCGCCATCTTTGCTAACTTTCGTTGCTGCTGCGTCCCCTCTAGCGTCGCCATCTTGGCCCGTCTTAGCAACAGCAGCGCTGCCTCTTGCTCCGCCATGTTGGTCCGGCTTCGATCCGACGGCCTCTTCCCTCGATCCGCCATCTTGGCTCGTCTTCTCTGCGGTCTTCCCCCTCTGCGTCTGCGCCCTAGCTCTAGGCTTGGTCGCCACGCGGTCCGTTGCAACGTCCGTCGCCATCTTGGTGAATTTCCTCACCGATCTGGTTTTAACTCTGCTCTCTTCCTCGCTAAATTCAGCAGAAATATCCGATTCCGCATCGCTGCTATTATTCGATTCTACGTCCGCCATCTTAACGTCCGTCCTCGCCGTACACACAACACGTGCTAGCCACGCGGCCGCCGCGTGCTCGCCACGTGTTCACTAACGTTCTCACTTAGTCTTAAGTCTTAATTACATTCATTCCTTAATTGTCTCTATCAATCATTCATACCAAACGTTGTCTTCACCAGGAAGCTCCTACCTTAGTCCTAGAGAACAAGTCTCACCCGCCTCGACAAGTCCCAACACGTTCCGACAGGTTCCAACAGGTTTGAACAGGTTTGAACCGGTCCAGATCCGGAATCCTTTAATCCCAGTGGTGGAACACCTCACATTAGGCTCACACACTGTTGTTTATAACACATATGTATTGTTTTGAGTAGATAGGGACAGAGGGAATCTCGTTAATCCATTCATGCGCGTCACTAATTGGATGACGAGGCATTTGGCTATTTAAATACGTATATTCTAAGTTTAAGCATATGGTACATTTCAGCTAGAGATGATAGTCCGCTGTGGACTGTGCACTTACCAGCTACAAGCTTGGTGCGTGCTAGCGCCATGACGATCACAACATATATACATGAGTGTATAAGGCCGCTATCGTCCTACATCACCTGTTGTAAGAGAAACTACATACATAGCAAATGGTTCGGACCGGGTGCAACCAGAACAAATTAAAAGTTAAAATAAACAAAATTGAAAACATATTAAAATTAATGTAAATATAAAATTGTAAATAGGACTAATAACTAATAAAATCAAAATATCACAGCAAATAAATCATAAAATTAAGAGTAAATCGAACATAACAACAAATTAAAATAGGGTATAATGAAAATGACTAGATTAATTATAAATAGAGGGACAAAAATAATTAAAATAGTTGCACCCGTTCCACAGGAAGGCTTTGCCCCATCGGTACCGGACCGACGGAGCGACACTATACACGCACTTCACCATTCACTGCGGCACCCAGTCTTCTATCTTGGTGGTCGTCCTCTTCTTCCGCGAAGTCGAGTCGTACCAGTGCGGCCGGCGGGCGTCCGGGTCGGCAGCGGTGTAGCCTGTGGTGTGTGTGTGTGTCCACGTGTAGTGTTGTGGTGAGGTGTAGTGTGGTGTTGTGGTTGTGTGGACGTTGTATGCTCACCCTCACTCCTTCTGGACCGCTGCGCCCATATCGATCTCATAAATGTCGTGTGGATCGAGCTACCCCATTTCAGGCAGGAGTTAACCAGACTCCGTTTGAGCGGGCCGGTCAACCCTAGAACAGATACTAAGTTATTATTGTTATTCGCCCAGATGCCCCTTGCACCCAACACCAGGGGTAAAATAGTAATTGTGGTGTTGGGCCATCTCTTTGATGCAGCCGCCCTGAAGTGCGCATTGTCATATTTTAGTAGCTTATCTGTCCAGGCCTGGTCGAGACTACGCTGACCCGACCAGCTAACCTGGACGTCGCAAACAGTGAGCCGATCGGGGCCGGTTCGAATGGCCAAGTCTGGTTTGTACAGCTGCCCGTCATCATGACGGACGTGCGGCTCCTCCTCCACGGCCCACTGCTTGCGGTGACAATGCGACACCAACTTGGCACAAATCTCATTATGTCTTTCTATCCTGACTGCGTGTGTCACTGGACAGGCCTGTAGTACGTGGCAGATAGATTCATTGACGCTGCAGCCTGCCCTGCAACGTCTCAAAGCCGGGGGATTGGATGGAATCCCCATTGTTGGTAGGTTGTTATTCCTCAGGTGGACGGCTCGAACGTAGTCCCGACCACTCCATCCTGAGGGAGGATGGTCTATCCATGACCTACTGGCTGGATCATGCGATACCTCCTCAATGCCTTGGAGGTAGGGATTAGATATTATGTCGTCCCTTCTCTGGGCTGCAGGATTGGTGAGCGGTGCTAGCCTGTCGATCCTTTCAAGGTTTCTGAAAAATACAGGATCATTGGTTAGCGTTTCCACCGGGCCGCAGGAACCGTCAAGGGACTTCCTGATCCGAGCTGCCAAGATCTTGGGGATGGACGTCCTGAAGCACGTAATGCCTAGTCCGCCATCCCTGGTGGCTGCGTACAGAGTACAGTCAGGTGTCGTAATGCCCAGATGCAGGACCTTCTTGACGGCTCGCCGAATCAACCTATCCGCCGCCCTCAACACCTCAGCGGTCACCCGCGAGTTCGACAACCCGTACTGAATTTTAGGAACGATATAGAACTTCAGTAGGTGGAACTTCTGGTAGGGCTTCAGGGGTGCCTTTATAATGCTGCTGAGCCATGCCGCAAGGTTATAGAGGGATGGTCTGTTGACACCTGAGGTAGTAAATTGGTGTCCGAGGTATTTAATGTATTCCTCATCCCTCTTAATGGAGACCAACTGCCCGTTGAGTCGGAAACACGGCCGGGACCGCGGGACACTCTTCCCCTGGTAGGACGCGACCGAGATAGAGGTGGTCTTTTTGGGGTGAATAGACATGCCTCTACGCCGAAAGAAGTCGCTAGCGAAGTCCAACGACGCAGGCATGTCCACCTCTCTGTCCTCCAGCAGGATAATGTCATCCGGGAACCCCATAGCCGCGCACCGAAATGAGGGGGTGATGGTACCTCCGGGCTGTCTCGCCTCGAGCTCGTCCAACAACTCGTCTATAACTAGGTTAAACAGAATGGGGCTTAGCGGGTCACCCTGCTTCACCCCACTCCGAATACCTATTGGCCTGGTTGTTTCATGGCCCACCGTGATATGAGTGATGGACGAACCGAGCGAGTTCATGATATATTCAATGGTCTCAGCCTCTATACCATGGCGCAGCAACGCGCGGCGTATCGACTTATGCGACACGGTGTCGAAGGCTTTCCTGATGTCTAATGACACCACATTATAACCTTTCCCCTGGGCCCTACGAGAACGAAGATAGTGATCTAATATCATTCCATTCAGCAGGGTCCCGTCCACGCGGACAAATCCGCGTTGGTTATTGTTGAGGTTGGTTGCGGCAGTAAGTCGACCGGCTATCACCCGGTGGAACAGCCTTGAGATGGCAGAACCGACCGTTATGGGACGCCAGTTGGTCGGGTCGGTGCCGTCCCCATCCTTGTGGATAAGGACGGTCCGATTTCGCAAGAATCGGGACGGAACGATGCGGCTCCCCAGCACAAGCGTGTAAAGCACGCCGAGTGCCCGAGGCCCGCACCGCTTCACGTCCTCTACGGAGGTCCCATCCGGGCCGGGGGCTGACGCCTTCCATGATCCCATCGCCCTCAGCACCTCTTCCTCCGTGACAGGCTTGTAAGTGTCGCAACATCGAACCCGCTCAGTGAACGGGTCGGTGTCGGCCGGTGATTCCGACTCCAGCAACCCCCCATACAGGGCTTCAGTGTCCGCCAAAGTGGGAGAGACCACAGACTGGCAGATATCTTTTCCACTCAGGATCAAGTCTACCAGGGTCTTCTTGTTTTTACCAAAAAGATCCTGGCACTTCTTGTATTTGGCGATCCTGAGGGCCCTCTTATTGAGGGGAGGCCTCTCCACAGCGGCGGCGCACCCCCTCGCCGTCCTGACCTTTACTGGGAAGCGGTGTTGGATCCAGTCGTCCATTACTGCAAGCAGCTCTGGACCGGTTCCCCTTAATGCTTTTAAAATCATATCTTGGGTATTCCTATCCAAGTCATTCAGATTGGTCAGGTAATCGACGAAGGACCCCGGCAAGAGGGTCGCCATCGTCGGAGCCGATGGTGGCTCCACATCCCTGCGAACAGATATTGAGTCGTTATTAATAGTATTATCAAGGACATCATTTACAACACAACTAGTAGCGCCAGCAGAGTCCCTACGCTCTCTTAGTACAACCTGCACCGTGCTTGTAAATACGTTGGAGGTCTCTGCCACATCAGAGACCGTGGCAAGTGTTGCCATGGGTGCACACATACGTACTTTCTTTTTCGAGGGGGAAGGTGTTGAAGACAAGCTTCTCCCTCTTTTTCCACCCGCCTGTGACCCAGAGGCCTCAGACGCAGTGACCGCTCGACCCCGCAGATTCGGGGGAAGTTGTTTAGGTTCCCTTGTATCAGGAGAGTCCCCTTCCCTAACCCCTTCGCGACACCTCTTTCGCGGTCCGGGCGATTCGATATCCGAGGGGACTGTGTGGGTGTCTGCACTTGTACATGCCTTTTGATGAGGGTCAGTTGAGCAGATGTTGGCCTTTAGATATCCACCACTTGGGGTTGATTGACCCTGCATTGCTGGAGTAGAGCTGGCAGGAAGGCCGAAAAGTTTTGTGGCGCTTTTCCGTACCTGTGCTCTAGCTTCAGCCAAGTAGCGCTGGTAAATCTTCTGCTCTCGGCGGTGCCTGACCTGGTGTTCAGACAGGCCGGTTGCCCTCATCATTTCGTTGTAGAATTTTCCTCCCTTCTTACTTCCGGCCTCGACCTTGGCGATCTTGGCCATCAGTTCACATTCCGGGAGGGGTAATTTTGCTTCTAGTTCCTTCCGGTACTCCACTGGGTGAGCCCGGGACTCGTGCTGTCGCACAAGCTTATACGAAGCAAATCGGATTCCACAGTACAAACACCCAGTCCTCTTTTCTTCGAACCTCCTCTCGCTAGGAGGCGCTCTAGGGGGGTCGGGTTGGTTGTCTACCTTTTTAGACAGATTACTGGCTTTTGGGCTCGGAAGGGGTCCAGAATTATCTTGGAGACCCCTGAATATATTAATTAATTGTGACACCGAGCTCGCGTTGGTACCGGGTGGTGACCCGGTTGTGGGACGGACGTTATCCCGGACCTCTATAGTGCTACTAGAGGAGGTCGACTCTACATTTATAATTCGCCTGTCGTCACCAGTGGGTTCCTGTTCCGAGTCTCTGACTCCGACCACACCCGAACCCTTGGATGTGGCCTCCGAGGCCTGATTCCTCTTATCTGGACCAACGCGTTTCAAGCCGTGGGGCTGGTAACCCAACGACAGGCAAGGGATTGGGGGAGGATCGATCCGTCACGACTTAGTTGTTGTGCGGCGCCACCTCGAGGAGGTGTCGTGTACGGTCTTGACACGGGTTATGCTGGGTATTCGCCTTCCCGTGCCCTGCCACAGGCTTGGTACAGGCGTATGGGACTTACGGCCTGCAGGAGACCAGACCACCTCGCAATGCGCCCAAAGGCGCACCCTTAAGAGAGTCATAGTTACTCCCGCCGTTTACCCGCGCTTGCTTGAATTTCTTCACGTTGACATTCAGAGCACTGGGCAGAAATCACATTGCGTCAACACCCGTTGGGGCCATCGCAATGCTTTGTTTTAATTAGACAGTCGGATT